ATGTTGAGCACTATATATATATATATATATATATATATATATATATATATATATCCACACAGGGGTTAGACAATAAAATGGAAACACTACATGATTTGCAGGTGTGAAAGTGGTGATGACTGAGATTGAGCTCTGCAGTCACATTTACAGCAGTTGTTTTCCTACTCTGAATCACAATGTTCTTTTGTCTCTTTCAGTCAGTTGACCATGTCAACCTTGTGTATGCTTACCAGGCATCATTTTCCTGGAAACTGTATATGCTGTCATAACCTTTGATACTATACCTTGCAACAAGGTAAATAAATTAGGTAATCAGTTACAAGAGCAGCAGCTAAGCAGTTTGCTCTCTTTGAAGCTCAGTAAGCTCTGACGACTTCATATTACTAGCAGAGCAGGCAGTGAATGACGAAAGGGAGGTTTCCCATCTGTTGGTTAGGTGTCTCATCACACAGCGGGAGCAAAAGAATGTTACATCACTTCTGCCTTCAACATGAAACTAACCCATGTAAATGTGTTGTGTATATATATATATATATATATATATATATATATATATATATATATAGTTTATATAGATAGATAGCGAGAGAGAGAGATAGTATTTTTGTAAAGTCCATCTTATGCCAAATGCTGATGATACAGGAGGAGTGACGTTTTTGTTATGAATATTTAAGAACTGGTTGAGGTGCAGGGTCTAATAACCTACCCAGTATTTACTACAGCACCCTTCAAAAGATGATGAAATTTGCTTCTTGTTGATGGTATGAGTGGCAGTAGTGAGGGGAGGGGATGAGTGGCAGTGGTGGAGGGGGGATGGGCTGAGTGGTAGTGCTGGTGGGTGATCGGATCAATGGCAGTGATTGTGAGGGGACATGTGATCATTGGAAGTGCTGGGGGAGGATGGGATGAGTGGAAGTTCTAGTGGGGGGATGGAATGCGTGGCAGTGCTGGTTGGGGGATGGATGAGTGGCAGTGCTGGGGGGATGGGATGAGGGGCACTGCTGGAGGGGTGATCAGTGGCAATGCTGGGGGGTTGTGATCAGTGGCAAATCACTAGTCCGGGGAATGGGATGAGTGGCAGTGCTGGGGGGATGGGATGAGTAGCAGTACTACTGGGGGGGAATGGAATGATTGGCAGCACTGGTGGGGGTGAATTAGATCAGTGGCAGTGCTGGGAGGGATGGGATCAGTTGCTGTGGTGGTGGAGGAGGGCATGGAAAGGGTGGCAGTGCTGGGGGGTAAGGTGTGATCAGTGGCAGTGCTGGGGGGTATGAGTGGATGTGGTGGGGGGGGGAAGGAATGGGATGGGATGGATGGCAATACTGGGGGAATGGAATGAGTGGCAGTGATGATAGGGGAATAGGATCAGTAGCAGTCCTTGAGGCCAGAAGATGGGATCAGTTGCAGTGGTGGTGGTGGGGGATTGGGTTCAGTAGCGATGCTGGGTGGAGGTGGGATCACTCATCAGTGGCACTCACTTGTCAACTCGGTTCCCCCTCCTTGTCTCTTCAGCTCCCTGCACGTGAATCCTGTGACACCATCCTGATATCACTAGATGGGGTCTCCTCATACAGCAGAGACCCCCTACAGCTCCTACCCCTTCATGGGTTAGCTGACTCTCTACAAATTTCCTCCCCCCATGGCCATGCCAATCTGCCTGCTGTTATGAACTCAATGGGTGGCTGTGGAGAGGCTGGGAGAGCGGTGCTATGCAATTACTATGGCAGTGGCTTGAGTGTACTGTATACACAAGCAGCCCCCCACCCCCAGTAGCAGAACACCAGGGCTTGGATACAAGTGTAACCTTTGTGACCTTGGTAGTTCTGCTACTGAGACTCATTTGTGAATACTGTAATAAAGAAAATAGAGAAAAGTGATCATGGGAACCCTTTAGATGTATTCAATAAAAAGCAATATCAGACAACAAAAAAGGCAAAGACTGAGCTACTAATGCTACCCAGTATACTCGCCAGTTGTGCTATAATGGGAAAGATTATTACAGTTCAGTTTTGCATGGGTTTTCCGTAATCCACTTTAGACAGAATACAGAAAGCCTCTTACAATCTGATATACTGGTCTAATGTCCTCCTTTAGTTAGGCTCTAGTGAGTGGAGCTGTGATCTTTTGGCTTTGTCTGCAGTCAAGGTTTCCTGAGCTGAATATTTGTTTTCTCTCCTGATTCTGAAAGAAGTTTCCAGAATATAGGGCAGGGAGAATCAAATAGCCAGCATGAATATTTATCATGCTCCAGCCAATCCCTGAAAGGTGATTTCCAGAAGGTGACTGGGGAGGTGATAAATGTTTGGGAGGCATGAACAATATGTTCTTTCCTCTCCAGGGAGGGTTCCAGTTCTCCAGGGGCTGTTTCCCCTAGGAAAGAACTGTTGAATTGCACTCTAGGCCTCAACAGGTGAAGGGTTGAGGGCCTAGAGAAGATTGCTCATGGATTTATTTTAGAGGGACTGCCCTGAAGTCCTGGTTTGGAGAAGGATCTTTTATCTCCCTCACTGAGGATCTCTCTGTGGATGCTGGGTGGCATGCAGCTCATGGGGCACTGTGAGTAAGATCTGATTTGGCACTGTAGTGTGTATACCTGCTCCAAAAAGATCTTTTCATCAAGTTCAACCTCCCATTGATTGCTAATTCTGTTTTGGAATATCCTGTGACCCTAAACCCCTCTCCTGTTTCAAGCTTTATAACAATGAATTCTAAAAAAGATATCCCCTGGACTGAGCCTGTATTGTGTGTGCATGGAACTTGTTACTGGCAGCCTCTGTACTATTGTAGGAGACCTGGGTATATTCTCAGCAGCCCTTCCAGGGGGTTAGCGCTATATATTAAAGTATAATTTTTAGTTTTGACTGTAATCTACCTTAGATTTTAACTACATTCTATCCACCATATAGCAGTTTTACTGCTACAGGGTGGCTGCTCTGTGCAGAATCATGTATATAAACATGCACTTCCAGGTAGGGGGCGCAATGGGTGCTGGCCAAAGGATGACCTTTGGCACCCGCTGATTGGCAAGGAGACACATTTGACGGAGTTCTGCATATATAAACAATGCAGAGCTCCATCCTGTCACTGGGAATGTGCAGGACTTTGTTTCCCTGCAAAGCAGGGAGTAAAATCCAGCACATCCCTTACTAAAAACACTTAAATGTAAACACAAAAACACTGGTTAGGCACACAGTTAACTCTTTGATTGCCCTAAATGTTTAACCCCTTCTCAGTCAGTGTCATTAGTTAAGCAACAGTGTATATTTTTAGCACTGATCACTGTATTAGTGTCACTGGTTCCCACAAAGTGTTAGTGTCAGTTAGTGTCAGATTGTCAGATATCGCAGTCCTGCTGATTGCCGCCATTACTAATATAAATAAATAAATAAAAATTCAAGAATATATCCTATATTTTGCAGACTTTTATGCAAAACAATCAATATACACTTATTGGGATTTTTTTCATGAAAAAATATGTAGCAAAATATATATTGAATTAAATTTAGGAAGAAATTAGATTTTTCTAAAAAAAAATTTTGTAGGACATATTTTTCCATTCACCTCTCCATTTCTTGAATATAGCCAGCTCTCTTCATGGCTCAAAGTGTTTGTATTCCATGGAAAAATTATACTGATAGTGCTTATGTTTATGCTATCATATACAGTATGGCCAAACACCTGGTAGTTCAGTAGATGACTTGACTTTATGGCTATGTGTTGGTGGTGCGCATAACTTTATTCTTCTTGCTTTCTGCTATATTAGCAGATCACTTTGCAAAAGGTGTTAGATGAAGAAGATCTGAAAACATCTTTTGCAATCTGCAGCATGTAAACTGAGCTTTAATTATGAAATATAAGCCCTGTCAACATAGAAGACAAGTGCACACACAACTGTTAGATGCTAAAAGCAATGTGTTTAATCAAGTTGCCAGCACAGAACTAACAATTGTCTTAGTATTGTTCACATGTCACATTGAGCTTGCAGAAATGAGAAGGCACCTTTAGTTATTTAAACTATTTTTTTCAGCTGTGTGCTTTAAAGTACTGCTGTGGCATCAATGGCGTCACTAGGGTTGGTGTCACCTGGTAAGAACACCCGTAAAGAGACACAGGTAAAACACCAGGTTACACCACCCCCCAATTGCATTCAGTGACACTCCCCTCTGCCAGTGACATTGGGTGACACCCCTCCCCATGTGTAACTCCCCTCCCCCTCCTCACCTCTCTGGTTTGGCTCTTGGTGTCCTCCTGGGTCAGCTCCATCTCTGGCCTGCCGCTCTCTTCACACACAGAACCAGAAGAAGGACCTCCTAGACACCTTGTCAGTCAGTATCATCATGGAGAATGCAAATGATAAAGTCGGTGTCACCCTTCTAGAGGGTGTAACCCGAGTGCGGTCTGCACCCCTATGCTGACTCCACTGTGTGGCATGTTGCATGAATAGGCAATTCTTTTGGTACTCAACAAAGGTATTGTTAATTCCTCTGCAGAAAATGTATGCAGTCATTTTAAAAATTGGTGATTATAAGGTTCATTTACCTGAAACATGAAAAATCTAAATTACTCTACTTTTCATCCTGTAATGCATATTCTATATCTGGCTGCCCAGCAATTTAATCTCCATGGCTGTTGCTAACCTTTCCTGATAGCTTGAATCTGAATCTACAAAAATGTAGCCCAGTGTGTTTTCTGGTTCTGAGAAGTACCACATGTTGTTTTCCAAGAGGAAAGTTGCACGACATGGAATCATGTGACAGGAGACTGCTATCCAACCTGATACATTAAACGTGGCTGCAATATGTAATAAAAAACTTAATTTATCGTTCTGATTGTTGCACAGCTGCAATATTTCCCTGGCAAAAATAACAGTGGAGTTTTACTTCATGGCTGAATTTCAGATGGTTAACACTTGAATCTAGGCAGAAAAATACCAAATAGCTCAATCATATATTATTTTAAAATCATTATATGTTTTTGTTTAATGCAAATAGTGTAAAAAGCTGAATCTGATTAGATATCTTCTGCATTTCAGATACTTCGTAGTTTGAGAGAGTAAGCGCAAGTACATAAAAAACGTCATCATTGTGCTGTTACCAGGGATGGACTGACCATTTGGAAACTCGGGCACTGCCCGAGGGCCCGGGGTCTAGGGGGGCCCCATGAGATGCCACTGGTACCTTTTTGATAGGCTTTTTTGAGTTTGGGCAAGGACACAGGGGCCCCATGATCCCCTATTGCCCAGGGGCCCCATGAGTTGTCAGTCCGCCCCTGGCTGTTACTATTTCATCAGCAGGCTAAAAAACATTCTTAATCAAGGGTTTTTGTTGTCTTGGCAATTGAGATCATTGACCAGGATATGCTATCTGGTAGGAATGCTGGATCACAAAATTGGTAGCAGAGAATTTGAATGAGGCAAAACAGCTATCATATATGTAATTCAAATATAAAATTACTTGTTGCCTAGATATTAACATTCACTCACCAACTTTCAGTCAATACCGTATCTATGTCAAAATGAAAGTTGTTACAGTATAATTGCCTTGGTCTCAAAGATGAAAAATAATACAGTACATGTCAATAGGAGCAGCTTAGGATGGTCCCAAGCCCCATAGCAGACTTGCCAGTTGGAAGGAGGAGAGGTCAATGCACGTGTATGGCCAGAATTAGAATAAAAGTAGTAATAAACTTTCAGCAGTTTTTAGCTTAATACATAGAGCACAATAAAATAAACAGTAAACTGTTTGTGAAAATTCCTACCCCAGCACTTGCAATTTACAGCTCTTGATGCTGCTAGCTCCTACTTTCTCAGTGATGTTTCCTTGAACTCCTGGTCTTTACAAGAAAGAGTTACAGCAGGGGCGGACTGACAACTCATGGGGCCCACGGGCAATAAGGGATCATGGGGCCTCTGTGTCCTTGCCCAAACTCAAAAAAGCCTATTAAAAAAGGTACCGGGGCATCTCATGGGGCCCTCTACTGACCCCAGGCCCTTGGGCAGTGCCCAAGTTTCCAAATGGTCAGTCCGCCCCTGGTTCACAGTGTACAGAGCAGTCTGGAGTCAGACTATAAGCTTGAAAAAGGGAGGAGGAACAGGGTTGTCACATACCTGGTGGGGGAGCCTGACGTGGAGATGAGGGTGTCCTCTTTCAACTCCCGCTCGGTGCCCCTGATAGAGCAAACAGAAGGCACAAAGCCAGGAGTGGCACAAGTGCTTGGCTGGTCTACGGTGACAGCTGACAGGTGAATTGCCCTGACGAACAGGAGGCAGGTCAGCTGTGAATGCAGGTGTGTGGGAGCAGCAGCAGGAAGGTATAGCAGGAACTTGACAACTGCAGGCAGCTGGTAGCAAGTGATAGTCACAGACAGGAAAAGTAGCAGAGTCAGACAAGCCGGATCATGATCAATCGGGCAAATCAGGTACAGGGAGCAGGCAAGCGGATAGTCAAAGGATAAGCTGGGTCAGTGCAGGCGGAGTTCAATTGTAGTCAAGACAGGTCAGGTTGGCAACAGGATCAGGATAGAATGGCAGCAAGCAACAGAATGTGGTAGACCAGAAGGGAAGGACTCTTAATGCAGCAGAGGTTTAAATAGCCCGCCTGGCGCCAGTCCCGGTGGCGTGCGTGCGCATGCGCACTGGCGGCATTGGTGAATAGATGTGTGCTTAAGCAATTTCTCCTTTCCCTGACAAGGGTAGTACTTTGCCATCCCAGGCTAGGGGGCTGTGTGCTTCTATTGATATACACAGTAATTCATAGGACACTTCAAGAAAAGGAGGCACTCTGAAACAGGAAACTTGGGGCAGCAGTCATGGCACCAACTTAAATAGGAACATCAAGGATTAAAAGATAAATGATCTGCATATTCAGCAAGAGATTAAATTAGCTGCTGAAAATGCTTATCAAACCAAGGGTTTAATATCACTTGAACCATTTCTGTTTCATTTAATAAAGTAGCACAAAAATCCAGTAATAGGTGTGCAAAATCCTTTGCAACTAATCTGATTTCTCCTACTAGTGAAGTCAAATTGGCTAAATAAATATTCTTACTGTTTGCTCCAAGTTTTTGCACATTACATGGTAGGCCTTACCTTATTAGCTAAAATCCTTGAGTTATATATGGTATAACTAATCCTGGCAACTTCTGGTATGACAGTATTATTTAATTGGTAACACTAGTAACCAAAAAGTAAGTAATATAAATATAGATGGCCTATAGAGACTTTTCATTAGCACAAAAGGTTAAGAACACATTGCTTGTGCCTTATATGCACACACAGCCAAGATGACATCAAATGATGTGACAGTGTCTGCAACACATCATCGGGTGTCATTTGTGTCTGTCCAAGGCAAGAAGCTGTAACTAAAGTCGAAGTTCCTTCTGCTTTATGTCAGGAGCCTATCACTCATCTGTGTTTGTGAGTATAATGGTCTACTGCTTTTAATAATAAATGTTGCCATTGGTAATGCACTGGGCTGATGCATCCATTTTGCTGTTTGTAATGTAGTGCTCTGGATTCCCCTGTCTGAAGAAGGCTGCAAGGCCTAGGAAACACCATGTGACCTGTGAAAACTTAAGCCAATTGGAGTACCACCTTTGAATACTAGAACATGACTTACAGTATAGCCACCACATCCACAACACCTGAATGCAGAAGAACATTTTGGTTAATATGAGTGAAATGTTTTATGAATAGGCAATGGTGTTGCTACGAAGCGTATGCCAAGGTAAAGATTTCTTCCCACTGCAGCCATACTGGGAAAATTCTGGTCATTCTAAACCATACTCCTATCAGGGCATTCACAATATAAACCCACGCACACAGTCAGATACAATCTTTTTTTTTTATATTAACAATTTTTTTATTGGTTTTCAAAGAAATCATATGTTACAGAAAACAAGGAGAGAAAAACAAAAAAGACAAGCAAAACAGAGAAGTACATCGATGGCAAGGATTACATTTAGTCAAGACCAATAGAGTCATATATTAACAGTGCGTTAATAATCAGGGTCTTACATTTCAGGCCAGCATAGAGGAAGAGAAATTATCCCACGGGAGCCAGATCATCTCAAATACAGCAAACAAACCACTATGTGAAGCAGTCAAACACTCCATCTGTCTTACATCGGCAATAAGTTTATACAAAGTTGGCAATGAAGGTGGGTTAGAGGATAACCAACACATAGAAATACTTCTCCTGGCCGCTGTTAGCACATGTGCAGCAAGTCTTCTGGCTAGTTTAGGTAGACCCGGGAATGGCAAGCCCAGCAAAAAATGCAATGGGTCAAATGGGAGAGAAACATGCAACAACGATTGCAACAAGGAGCGAACCTCTTCCCAAAAAGGAGCAATGGAGCTGCAGGTCCAAAAAATATGATAAAGAGAGCCAGAAGCTCTACTACAGCGCCAGCAAGTAGGAGAAGCACTCGGATTATAAACATGAAGAACTTCTGGTGTTTTGTACCACAACATCATAATCTTGTATATATTTTCCTTAAAAACCACACAAATAGAGGATTTAGATGCATTGTCCCATATTTTCTTCCATGACAATAAGTCAATATCACGTTGTATAAATTGAGACCATCTACGCATATAGAGGTGAGCGTCATTGGACAAAGGGGGGGCCTCCATAAGAACTTTATAGGTGCTAGAGACAATACCCCTTTGGTGGGGACCTTCCATACATAGACGTTCAAAGGGGGTAGGTTTCCCTAAGCTCAATGAGGGAGATAGAGTAGAGAAAAAGTGGCGTATTTGAAGGTATATATACAGATGGCGAGAGGGTAGAGAGGCTTTCCTCTGGAGATCCGAGAATGAATGCAACTTACGAGTCACCGGGTGTACCAAGTGACGTAGTTGAAAAAGGTTAGATCCTACCCAGAGAGACATCCGGGACTTGGCCATATTGTCTGGAAGATTAGGGTTATAAAGGATATTTGTCAGTGGGGAGCAATCAGAGGCCAATGTGAATTTAGCCTTACATTTCTGCCAAACATTCAATGAGAAAAGCATGGGACCTAGGAATAAGTGTCGAAAAGAAAGGACTTCCACTGCTGAGGTCGACCAGAGAAGGGAACACGGATGAACAGGGGACAATTGCAAAGACTCAATCTCAGTCCATGTATTGGGAGGGTAGTGGGTGGACCATGACATGAGAAAGCGAAGGTGGGTTGCAAAGTAGTATGTTATTATATCCGGTGCTCCCAAGCCTCCCCTAGAACGTGGGGAAAGCAGAACTGAACGAGCAATCCTGTGCCGCCTGTTGTGCCAAATAAAGTGTAAGAAAGATTTCTGAAGGGAGTGGAGCTTGGACATAGGAACGGGTACGGGCAGAGTTGCAAACAGATATAAAAGTTTGGGTAGCACGGTCATTTTTAGGACATTAATACGACCGAGGAAGGAAATGGGCAAGGCATCCCAGTGTTTCAGAGAGCGAGAAATTGCTACAAACAGTGGGGGAAAATTGGCCTCATATATGGATTGGTAAGAGGAGGTGAGGTTGGTACCTAAATACTTTAAAGAGTGGGTGCACCATCGGTAGGAAAAGGCTGCCTGAAGGGAGGAAAGAACGTCAGGAGAAACATGTATTGGAAGTGCCTCAGTTTTGGACGTGTTGACCTTATAGCCTGATAAAGCCCCAAATTGTTTCAAAGTTTTGTGCAAAATCGGTAAAGAGGTGTGGGGACTCGTAAGTGTAAGGAGAATGTCATCTGCAAATAACGATAATTTGTACTCACGAGAATGGGATTGTATTCCCCGGATATCCGGATCCGACCTGATGGCGATAGCCAATGGCTCCAGGCAGAGAATGAACAGCAGGGGAGAGAGAGTGGACAGCCCTGACGAGTGCCATTTGACATCTGAAAGGGTGGTGAGAGAAAGGAGGCTAATCTGACCTGTGAAAAAGGGGATGAATAAAGGGCCTTCAAAGCTGCTACAAATGAACCCCTAAAACCAAATCTCTCCAAAACCATGAACATATAGGGCCAGCTTAAACGGTCAAAAGCTTTTTGAGCATCCAGACTCAATAACACAGCAGGGGTAGAGGAACGATTGACCAAATCAACCAGATCAATAGATCTCCTGGTGTTATCTGCAGCCTGTCTGGCAGGTACAAAGCCCACCTGATCCCTGTGTATGAGCTTGGAGATAATACCGGAGAGTCGATTGGCCAAGATTTTAGTAAAAATCTTATAATCGGAATTAAGTAGGGCAATAGGGCGATAGTTATCTACGATAGAGTGATCCTTATCAGGCTTAGGGATAACCGAGATATATGCACGGGAGAAGTCAGTCTGGGGTATGATTCCCTTAAAAAGATCTCGGAAAGGGAGAGAAGATGCGGGGCCAAAATACCAATAAAAGATTTATAGTAGGAGTAAGGCAATCCGTCCGGTCCCGGGGCTTTACGAGAAGGGAGGTGTTTGATTGTGTCCAATAATTCCTCTAGTGTAATGTCTGCATTAAGGGCGTCCATGTCTGAGGATGTTACTCTCGGAAGTGACAAGGGGTCAAAAAAATTGTCAAATGATGACTGTGTGAGAGACGGGTGAAGGTCCGGGGTCAGACAATTATATAATTTCCCATAAAATGAGCCAAAAAGTGTTGCCATGGCCCGAGGGTCATAAGTAGGGCTTCCATCTGGCTGTATTAGAAGATCGGGCATCGTAGAAGGGGACTGAGTTTTGAGACGGTTGACTAACATACGGTGTGGCTTGTTAGAAAATTCGTAAAATTTCTGTTTAACCCAAAGGAGAGACTGTGCAGTCTTACTGGAGTCAAAAGCTTTAATTTGGGCACGTAGAGATGCCACCCTCTGAAGCCCCGAAATAGATGGCCTATTCAGTAACCGACGTTCCGCCACCAAGAGCTGTTGTATGAGAGAGGCCCTAGCACTCGCCGAGGACTTTTTTAAACGAGAACCCATGGAAATACAAAGTCCACGAAAAACCGCCTTGTGGGCCTCCCACAGAGATGAAGAAGAAGCTACGGAACCGACATTAAGAGTGAAATATGAATCGAGTCCCCGTGACAATTCA